GTTCATCATATCTTCTTTCAATTTCGCACCACCGCCCAAGCTTGTCCTCTCTCAATATTTCTAGAAAATAAAATAAACGGAGTCCCACTATTATGTTATCTTATATTTGTAGAACCATTTGCCCTATTTCCATTATTTCTACAATTTCACTTTTTCCAAAGTGTTAACTAGATTAAAGCCAAATAACTTGTTGACACAATTTGAACTAAAGCACTGCAGCCTCAACATTTTTCAACTGGTACTCGTATGAACTCGTAAAAGGTAGTAGTAAATACTCTAAGGCTTGACATAAAAGCCAGAAGTGCCTCAATACGCTCACATGGTTGTATGAGCTTTCTGCTGTGTTCGTTCAGTCAATGAGGATCGCCAAATTTTCATTAAATAGACAAAAAAGCAATTGGATGCAAATTGTTGTATCTGCAAACAAACCAAAGACCAAAACAAAAATTCATGTCAAAAAAAATTTAACCACGGCCTAGCCAAAATTTGTTGGAAAGCAAATGAGCACAGTGTTGAGGAATTGGAACATTTTGGGAGGTTGTTATTTTAATATTTTGCCATAATTTCCTGTAATTCTTCGAAAAAAAAAAAATCAATATAGTTTTAAACAGATCGCCTTTTCTCTAAATAATATCGAAATATTTTTTTTAATTCGAAACACTGTACTCTAATATAAAAAATGACCCGAGAATTTTATCCTCCCAACTTACAGCCTTTTTACCGATATTTGTGGCACACTTCAAGTGGCTGGATGGCAGCCGCTGCTGCTTCGGCTGTTGATTGTGACTGACTAGTCTCACATTGCCTGTACACCCATCTATCTATATGTCCATTGCAATTTTTTTCGGCCTTAACATAATCCAAACCACCAACTATCTATGTTGGCTACACAACGTGGCCAAATGACCGAGTGACGGTTTTCACCGGTTACTGCGAACAAACCCCGGCAAACAGATGGATGGATAGATAGATTGTTGCGCGTTCATATTCAAACTAAGCGAAAAAAAAACGGCACACAACATTTTTGCCATATTTTTCTGGCATTGTAAGGCGGTTTCTGGCTCATACAGTCACTCATGTCTGAGGCGACAGATCGACAGAACAGCAACCAACCAGCCGACCAACCATTCAACCAGTCCCCCAAGTGTCTTGCAATTCAATCCGCTAACATTGAAGACAAAACAACAACACCAACAATAGCGCGACCATTGTTGGCAATTGCATTTGACGAAAATTATGCAGATAGTTCGTCCATTCGTTTGTATCGTCACACAAAGCAGCAGCAACAGCAGTGGACAATTCACCTACATGCCCATATGCTCTGTTCTCCGTGTGTGCGTGAGTGTATGGCTGTGTGTGTGTGCGTTTATGTATTTTAGGATTGAGTATCCACTCTCGTTTGTTATGATGTTGACGTTTTTCCACTTCAGTTAATTTCAACTCGATTGTATCGGAAAGCTACGCATAATTTTCATTGTTTTCACATCTATAGCCTAGACCGGCAACGACTTTAACAATGCCAATGGCTACAAGCCACAAATTCATTTCACAAAACAGGCACAATGGGGTGAATTTTGGCAGTTTTGGAAGAAAATTTAAAATTGAAAATATGAAAAATATTGGCTGCCAAAAACACAAAAGAAACTTAACTGAGGCAAACCATTATTCGGGTGGTAAAAATGCATTCCAGTCAAGTTTTGCTTTCCAAAGGAATTTCCGAAAGTCTTGATCCATAGGTGGAAAGACGGCATTCAGCTCCTCTGTAAAGGCAGGTGTTACACTCCTTCCTAAAGAACGGCTAACTTTTCAACTCCTCTGTAATGACCGCCCTATTCTCTAGTTCCAATACGAAGGACTCTCTTTCCGCTCCTTTATAGATAAGTCATTTTCATCAGATCCTTGGTATTAAGCACCTTAAGGAAGGACAATTGAACCTTTAATTCTGAAATTAAGGATTTTCTTACCTACAGTGCATATATGAAGGCTTCTTGCCCTACCTGAAATTATCCACTAGACGTTAGCTCTCCTATAAAGGAATAGCCTAGACTTCAGCTCTAGTACGAAGGACCTCAGATCCTGTATGAAGGACTTCAACTCCTGCATGAAGGACATAAGATACTGTATAAAGGACGTCAGCTCCTCTATGAAGGACCTTAGCTCCTCTATGAGGGACCTCAGCTCCTCTATAAAGGACCTCAGCTCCTCTATGAAGGACCTCAGCTTCTCTATGTAGGACCTCAGCTTCTCTATGAAGGACCTCAGCTCCTCTATGAAGGACCTCAGTCCACCTTGGTTCCTCTACACCAGCTGAAGGCCAGATGGGCTCCATAGACCAGCTGAAGGTCAGGTGGACTCCATAGATCAGCTGAAGGTCAGGTGGGCTCCATAGACCAGCTGAAGGCCACCTGGGCTCCATAGACCAGCTGTAGGTCAGGTGGGCTCCATAGATCAGCTGAAGGTCAGGTGGGCTCCATAGATCAGCTGAAGGTCAGGTGGGCTCCATAGATCAGCTGAAGGTCAGGTGTGCTCCATAGACCAGCTGAAGGCCAGCAGGGCTCCATAGACCAGCTGAAGGCCACCAGAGCTCCATAGACCAGCTGGGCTCCATAGATCAGCTGAAGGCGAGGTGGGCTCCATAGACCAGCTGAAGGCCAGGTGGGCTCCATAGACCTGCTGAAGGCCAGGTGGGCTCCATAGACCTGCTGAAGGCCAGCAGAGCTCCATAGACCAGCTGAAGGCCAGCAGAGCTCCATAGACCAGCTGAAAGCCACCAGAGCTCCATAGACCAGCTGAAGGCCACCTGGGCTCCATAGACCAGCTGGACTCCATAGATCAGCTGAAGGCGAGGTGGGCTCCATAAACCATCTGAAGGCCACCTGGGCTCCATAGAGCAACTTAAGGCTTATATTGTAGACTTCGTGCTAATTCATTGTGTTCTTTTGAAAAATTCTTGTCCTCTATTGAAGATTTTATGGCATTCTATATCTATATAGAACTCCCTTACCCTGACTTCGTTTATAAATATGCCTTAGATTTTCTTCTGGTCTGTCTCGCTATCATTCTGTGTATCGGCTGACCGTAGCTCCAACCCCTTGTGCAGCAATGTATTGTACGCAAGTGAATAGGAATTAAAATCAGCAATATAATGCCTGCAATGTCCATTGTCACTCCATGGGCAATGAAATGGCTACATAACGCCGTCACGCACACTCAAACAGATTTACACAGACACACACTCGCACATTTTGACCACCTCACACATTGAATATGTGACAACGGCCAATGTGGCGGTGGCTTTTGGGAGAATTTGTGCTTTTGTGTGTTACTGTGTGAGATCAACATATCTCAGTGTTGAATGTCCTCAAGCCATGACGACGACAGTGACTGAATAGTGAGTGAAAACCACTGGCATGAGTGTGTATGGGTACTTTACTATTATAGCCATATGCGTTATTTTCATTTTCATGTTGCCTATTTTAACGTTTGTTTTTTTTAAAAATTTGCAAAAAGTCACTTTTTCTACTTCGTTTGACAAGAAGTACTCGTCGTTCGAGTATTTCGAATCGAGCAATGCATGTTTGCAGCTAGTTGTTGTTGTCGTCGTTGTATGTGAACAATTTTTTAACAACTTTTATGAGACTCATAAAATTAAATGTTTTAAGTCAGGCGAGGCCAAAATTTATGGCATGTCGAGCAGGGCCAAACACTCAGCAGGATAAAAAGTGAAACGACGCACAACTGAAAAATCTCAACTGAAAGTGAAAATATTTATTGCCGAAAAAATATTTACTTTGTGCGTTGTGTGTTTTCACATTTTTGTTTGGTGGGAAAATCATGAAAATCGATATTGTGATAAAAGGGTGCGACTTTAAAACAAAGTGCGTAAAGTTGTATTTGTTTTGAGGAACTTTAAATGTCTGGAACGTTGTGTTGAAAGGTTTTTCTTTCAAATAAAATAGATTAAATAAAGTTTTCTCAATAGTTGCAAAACAATTGTGGTTGTAATTTTCAATTTTTGTATACACTCCACCATACTATGGAGGGTATATTAACTTTGTCATTCCATTTGTAACTCCTCGAAATACTCATGTCAGACCCAACAAAGTATATATATTCTTGATCAGCATAAAATTCTAAGTCGATTTTGCGATGTCCGCCTGTCTGTCCGTCCGTCTGTCTGTCTGTCTACCTGTCCGTCTGTCTGTTTTAATCACGCTATCTTTCGAACGAACTGAGATAGAAGGCTAAAATTTTGCACACATGTTTATTTTTTCAGTAGGCAGGTTCAGTTCGTAAATGGGCCATCTAGGTCCACGTCTTCATACAGTCCCCATATAACGGTACCTCCCTATATTCGGTATTTTGATGATTTAAGCGACATTATTATCCGGAATTGTTTCAAAGTTGGTAGTTGAAGTTCGAAGTGGATACTACAGCCTAAGACAGAAAATTGTCTGTGCAGGTCCACGTCTTTGTACAGCCCCCATATAACGGTTCCTTCCAATATTCGGTATTTTGATGATTTTAGGGTTATTATTCACCAAAATTGTTTTAAATTACGTATTAAGAGTTCATAATGGGAACTACAGCCTGTGGCAGAAAATTATCTATGCTGGCCCAGGTCTTCGCACAGCTCCGATATAACGGTACCTCCCTATGTACGATATTTTAATGATTTTATCTATATTATTCACCATTTATTTCAAGTTGCGAATTTGAATATGGTAATGGCTTATGACAAACAATGCCTACACAGAGCCGAAAATACAATGACTTTTTTAACCATGTGCATGGTTAATTTTTTCATGGTAAATGTTTGAGATTACAAACACAAAATAACGTTATATAAGGTCAAATGTAGATGAAAAATTGTTTAATTAACGTTGTATAAGGTTGTTGTTTTTTGAGAGAGACGGAAAAATGTGAGAGATACATAAAAATTTAAAGAGCCTTCGGCTCTGTTGTAGTCAACAATATTGAACTGCTTTGTGTTTGACGAAGTTCAATATTACAATATACGAAGTTGCAACGAATGTGACTGTCATATTCCCCCTCCTCCTCTTTATCGAATCTCTTTCTGTGGTCTGAATATGTGTAAGAAAGATCAAATAGACAATCACTTCTTTAGTTGGTGTTGAATAGTGCAGGGGAGTAGTGCACGTGCTCGTGGGAATAGTGCTTGGTATAAAGGTAAGTAAAAGCTGGTGAAATTAACAAATATATTTGATTGTAATTTGTATTTGTTTTAATAGAAAACCCTGATACTATTTCAACATAGTAATGTGTTATTGCTATATTCAAATTGTATCAGATTTGTCTATCAAATAAATTATAAATTACAATAAAGAAACAAAAATAACGGTAATACATGAAAAAAACAAGCAACAACAACGTATATGCAGCGACAAGCAAAAATGAGGAGAGAAATAATGTGTGAGTGTTTATTCATACATATGTGTTCTTTTTGTCTTTGCTTGTGGCTGCTACGACGTACATTAGCGTATGCATTTGTCACCAAATGTATGTTGTTGTTGAAGCGACAGTGTTCATATTTATGTATATCTTTTTGTTTTTTCTTCTCAGTTGTTTTTTTCTCTGGTGTCTTTTTTTTGGGTGCTCGTGCGTACATTTTTGGTAAGTTGTGACAATACTATTTGCTTTTATTAACTACTAGTTTCTTCTTCTGTTTTTGCAGTCGGTGTTTGGCGTTTTGTAGTTTTTTTCACAATGGCTGAGGAATATAATTTAAAATCACTCGGTAAGGCGTTAAAAAATAAAATTTATATTAAACATATATCTTTCTTTACCAGCCCTCCCTTAAATATACATACAATTTGTAATGGAAATACATATGTTAGAAATATGCGGTATTAATAAATAAATAATAAATAAACTTGTAAAAATTACATTTTTCTTGTTTTATTCAAACAAAGGTTAATTTATTATTAAAAATTATCATATGAACTGTTTAGACAAACTGACTATGAAATGTTATTATTAACAATTCTCATGGTTACAAAAATTTAACAGTGCATTGTTAAAACAACAATTTTTTTTCAATATCAACAATTTTCGTGGTTAAAAAAGTCAATCATGGAATAGCTAAATTAACGATGATTATTTTTAAATACCAGTCAACAAGAAAATGTTTAAATTAACCTTACATAACGTAGACTCCAAATCATGTTTATTTATGGTTAATCTAACCTTGTATAAGGTTAATTTTTTTCTCTGTGTATGTAGGTCCACGTCGTATAGGCCCCAATATAACTGCTATATTCGGTATTTTTAAAATGTTAACAGAATTTTTATAGGATTTGATTTTTTTGAAAATTTCCAAATTCATTCCAAATGGTGGAGGGTATTCAAAGTTCGGCAAGGCCGAACCTACTGCTTTTTAACTTGTTTAATTGTGATTTCGGTCATGTAATCTATAACTTGGTTAATTTTCGCATAGATCTTACCGAGCGACCCATAAAATTAGCGTTGAGTTATGGCGAACTCGTAAGACTCAGTCGGTTAAAAAATATACTTACCAATATGGCTACACCAAAAATGGACCAATATTGTACATTTTTGGCAGGAACTGCTGTTTGAAAGTCTGCAATATCGGATCTCAACTAATTTTTATGAAAATAACGTCAGCATCCTTCAAAATACAAAAAATCAGGATGTCCCTTTGCCTGGAGCCTATAACAATTAGTAAACCTATAATAACAAGTTCTTGAAAGAATCGAACTTACATAACGAGGTCCCGAGAAATATTAAAATATTGCTGATTTGGTTGGGAATTGTGACTGAAATTTTCAAAATTGGGAAAATTAGGAACTTCTTTGTACATTGCAGCAGAAGACTTTCCGGAATAACGAAGGAATTACTAGGCTTAGGGTTTCATGCTGATCATCCCATAATCTTTATGGGGTCTCCGAAAAATATTTTGAGGAGATGGTGGAAGATTTGAAGTTTAGCAATAATTCTAATACATATTCCGAGTCAGAAAAAAATTGCCTTCGAAAATTGGCCTTCACACATTGCCCTAAAACGATTTAAAACGACACAATTTTAAAATTGTACCTGAATTGCTACAATTTAATATTTTGGGTTCCCAATTTACAGTGAATGCTCAATGCTGATATAGGCAGAGCAGTTTCTCCGGATTTAAGTATTTTGAAGTTTTTTTTGGCAAGAGTGAAGATTTCTCTGAGGTCGAACGACTAAAATTATGTTACTACACTCTGAAAATCAGAGTTTCCGAAGTCCTGAAAAAGAACTACACCCCGACTCGTAATATATCTATATATAGGGTGAGATGAAAAATCTGCAACCAATTTTACACTGCTGCCATTTCTAAGCCACTCGTCCGAGAGCTGCTAAAATTATTCCAGTGACACCTCATTATATTGTTAACAAGCGTACAAAATCATTTTGGTGCGAATTTTCCAGAAAAAAAGTTATTCGTGATGGAATTCAAGTGTGATAGTGTGATTTCTTTATATTTGGCTGGAAAACGACAATTGGCTATCGCACTCCAGCACTTAAATGTGAATAAATCTTTAAAAGCGCGTACCATCGCTCGTTACCGATGCCGTACCATGCCGCTACCGTAACAGCAACATCAGCAGAAATGGTTCGAAAAGTAAAGAAGCGACTTGATCGAAATCCGCGTCGCAGTGGCTGAAAAATGGCTCGTGAACTGAACATATCGCTATTCCATTCGGCAAATATTGAAAAAATAAGCACGGGGTAAAGCCATTGAAATTCCAAAAAGTGCAAGAACTTACACCGTAACAGAAAGAAAATAGACTTAAAAGAGCTAAAGATCTTGCTTCGCTTAGCCAAAAGCTGTGAACTGCCGAATTTGGTTTCCTCCGATGACAATGTTTTGTCCAGCAGTTTGTTTACAAACAAAATGATCGTGTTTACTTGCTGAAAGTGTGCAACTTCGGTTGGCCACAAGAACTCAAGCGCCGACCATGACGATGGTGTGGGCCGCCATAGCAGCCAATGGTCGCCGTCCGCTCGTATTTATCGATCGTGGCATCAGAATAAATGCCGAATATTATCGCGAAAATATTCTGGAAGGTGTATTAAAGCCTTTGGCATGCAAAGGTTTTGGCCGCAGACTTTGTACATTCCAACAGGACTCAGCACCATCGCATCCAGCACGCGCACCCAAGAATGCTTACAAAATGAGGTTCCTCGCTTCATTTCTAGCGCACAATGACCATCAAAATCTCCGGATACCAATCCGTTGGACTATTGTGTCTGGAGTATTTTGGGAAGCAAGGTTGGCACTAAAAAATACCAAAAGGTCGATCACCTCAAGCAAGCGCTTCGCCGGGAATGGGCCAAAATACCGCAGAACAACATTCGGGCAGTGTGTGACGGCTTCATTGGCCGTTTGAAGGCCATAATTCGTGCCAAAGGTGACGAATTCGAACAAATCTAAATTTATTCTAAAATTTGATGCTATTTCCGACATTTTTTGCTTTCATTCATAAAATTTAAAAAAAAGATGTAAAAATTAGGACGTTTGACTTTGTTGCAGTTTTTTTATCTCACCCTGTATATTCGTTAACAAAAACTACCCAAAAGCATTGGACGGAACTCAAACAGCATACCGTCCGATTTCATTTTTAAAAATAATAGTCGGAGCTCTCGAGCAACGTTGGTGAAATCGGTTATTTTACGTTAGCGGAGAATATACATTTTCTTTGCGACAACATTTGATAATGCCGTTCTTAGTGGTTTTATGAAAAATAGATGTAATGAAACTGACTATGTATTAAAGTCAAATGTTTCGTTACAGCTCCCCACCCCTTAAATCCAGTAGTTGCATTCTATTTCAGATAGTGCAATAGATGACTAGCTTCGATGACTGCATTTAATTTACTTACCTTGAATTGTGTCAACCGCGCGTCACAACCATAAACGCCACATATTTTATTCCATATCATTTATTTTGCCAACTGAGTCATTTGTTCTGAAATCGCCAACGCTGTCCACATAAAAGTGTGCCTCGAACATTTATGCGCCCAAAATAATTGGATTATAATCGCATTTGTAACAAACACACACATACACACACTCGCACAAAGAAAAAAGAAACATGATTTTTTCAATTAATTGTTCTGTTGCTACTTATCATTGTTATTATTAATATCTCTAATGTCAATTTTTCAAATGACTGCTGCTGCTGCCGCTATAGCCTTTGTTGCCGCCCAGTTTGCCAATTTGGCAGGCCTCTCGGACCAGCTTGCCGAGCTGACAGTAGTAGGTGTGTAACAACGTAAATTTCTGTAAATGCAAATGTAAAACAAACACCATGACAGCCGTTGTATTTGTGACAAATTTTTGCGAAAAGATAAGCAAACAACTGGGTGTCATGTTGAGGTGATATGCAATATAAATATGGCGGCGCTGGGGTGAGGGAGAATGAAAAAAAGGACGGTTTATTTTGTGAATTGTTTTTAGTGGAAGAAAAAAAAAAAAAAACAAACAATTACACTGGAAGAAAATCGCTTAATTTTGTAATCATGCCCTGAGCCTTATGCTTACAGACGTTATACGATCAAATAATGGTTTCAGGTCTCTTTGGACGAAATCCGTCTGAGCCAATTTGGTGTCGTCCCTCTGTCTGCATAGTTGTCTGCTTCGGAAGATATTACCCAAAATGTGGCACATCATATTATTTGTTTTAGGGTTCGATCGAAAGCGGAGGTGGCCAAAATTATCCCCACTCCTTTTGGTACCATGCCCACAAAAAGTAAAAAAAAAAGTTCAAACAAATAATGCCTATTAATAATACAATTCATTAACGCCCTGACGAAACGGCTGAGTCTAGGATGTTGTAATTTTGGGTGAGGGCTGTTCTTGGTCCGAAGGAGTTAGATAAAGCTGGGTTTTTGGATATTCGTACCAGAATGGTGCGAAAAGTATTAAGAGGTACCATATATGGTTTCCTTTGTATGGTAGAAGCTAGAATCTATTGGTGAGGGTCACCCTTGGTCCGAAAGGGTCACATAAGGCTGGGTTGATGGAAATTCGGACTAGAACCGTACGAAATGTATTAATATGTACTAAATATGGTACCCCTTTGTATTTCAGGAGTCAGTTGAGCTAGAACTTCTAAATTTGGAATGTGGGCCACTGAAGGAGTGTATGATAGATGTACCAACGGCTTTAAGGAATTTCGCACTATACAGCGTGAGATAAAAAACTAATTTTTACAGTTTTTTAAATTTTATTGAATGAAAGCAAAAAATTTCGGAAATAGCATTAAGTTTTAGAATAAGTTTAGATTTGTTCGAATTGGTCACCTTTGGCACGAACTATGGCCTTCAAACCGCCAATGAAACCATCACACGCCACCCAAATGTTGCTCTGCGGTATTTTGGCCCATTCCCTGTGAAGCGCTTGCTTGAGGTGATCGACACTTTGGTATTTTTTAGTGCCAACCTTGATTTCCAAAATTCTCCAGACACAAGAGTCCAACGGATTGGTATCCGGAGATTTTGGTGGCCATTGTGCGCTGGAAATGAAGCGAGGAACCTCTTTTTGTAATCATTCTTGCTGAGCCGTGTTGGAATGTCCAAGGTCTGCGACCAAAATGCTTGCGTGCCCAAGGCTATAATACACCCTCCAGAATATTTTCGCGATAATATTCGGCATTTATTCTAATGCCACGGTCGATCAATACGAGCGGAGAGAGACCATCGGCTGATATGGTGGCCCACACCATCACCATGACCGGCGCCTGAGTTCTGGTGGCCAACCAATAGAGTTTGAATCCTGAAATTTAGAAATAAGAATACTATTGCATTTTAGTACCGAGGTTTATAGGCAGTGTTGGAA